GGATATAAGATGGAAATATTTGGATGTACTTTGCAATATGCATGAATTAACAATATAAAAACCTAATAATTAAATGCATTCAATTTGTGCCGAACTATAATCATCTGTTTTTTCTATGCACAGATTCAAATGGCACGATATTTTTGCTTATAGCAAAATACGCATTTGTTTTTCAATGACGGATGTTTTTTCGTTTTTCTTTTTTGTAATTTGACTGAGAGCTTTTAGTTTTGCTCGTCCATTCTTCAGTAATTATCTTGAAGTTCCAAAGAAGTTGTATCACTCATTATATGACAAATATTTGAGGCTTACACCTCGAATCCCTCCAGATGTAAAGCTTTCATATTATGCCTAAAACCCGACACCTTACTAGGTTAGCTTGAGTTGGTGGAACCTTCACTTAGAATAGCCTCCTGTCCTTGCTATTGAGACATAATTTAACTACAAATAAAATTTTCAAAAACAGCGAATTTAGGAAGATAGACTTACTACTTAAATTGTTTGAGCATGTCCTTGTGTATCTGGTTGCAGAAGTCCTCAACTGTCGTTGTCTTCGACGACAATATTACGGGATCATCATAGTCTGGATTCATTCCCTTGGGTTTTGTGTATATGCGAGTTAAGTTGAGATATTCCCATATTTTATCCAGCAGACCATCAAGGTTCCATTCTAGATGAGCACTGAGGAAATTTATTGTAAATTACATTTAATAACTACCATTAAAGAAACAATCACTGAACGTGTAGCTACAATACTTCTCTCGACTACAAAAGCAAAAATCAGCATATGATTGAGTATACAAGCAACATAAGCCTATTAATGGCTAAAAGTAACAAAACTCCAAGTCTCCCACTGTAACATTTTCAATTTGTCCCAAACTATGAACAAGGGAAAATAGGTAGAATATTTGGAGTTCATACAGTTTGAATAGATCAATGATAGAAGTGAGGAAGCATGATACTTGCTGCTAAAAAGACCGTGAGCTTTCATTTTTCATTTCTATTGTAGTTGTGCTGAAAGCTTAACCTGTTGAAAATAGAAAAAACCTGACATGATAAAAAAGTATAACAAGTCTTTGCTTCCTAAGCATATATATTTTCCCACGGGAGATTTCATATATAATATTTCCCTGGCAAAGTTACTGTATTATGACATTAGGCATGAGCCAACAAAAGAAAGTTAAACTGCATACAATTGGAAAAAGTAGAATTACTGTTTCTCTGCACTGGCCCAGCCCTTCTCCTTTCTCTACTTAGAGACCAAATTCAAGGAAATTGATAAAGAAGAAAGCATGAAAAAGTAGGGTCACACAACAGAGCACATAAAAAATGCAAAATGAAGTATTAATCTATTGAAGACGACATATTTCTGCATAGTTTTATCCAGTCAAAGATTTGCACACATGAACTCTCAACATAGTGTGGAAGAAACCACAAACCATGTTGATTCATTTGCTAATTTCGCATGCAACAAATGAAATGGTTCTGTAACAATTCACGGCTTTGATTCACAAGTCTATCTGCATTGTTTGTGGTCCAAAAAGCAAACTTCTGTAACCCAAATGAACTGTTGAAGTACAGTAATGAAAGCTGAACTTGGAGTAGTACCTTATTGGACAATAGTGAGGAAGTTTGTCCAAAATCTCCAGCTCCTCAAGTGTAATCTGATCGATCTTGTTGACAACATAGATGCACGGAATATATACCCTGCTGCCTTCGATGACATCTATGAGGTCATCAGCAGTTGCATCGTACTTAAGATTAATATCAGCATTGTGGATTCTGTATTCACTGCAGATTGCCTTCACAGTTTCAAGGTCCAGATGTGTGTTGGTAACTGTTGATGTAAAATTGATCCCACCCTTATCTTTCCTGCGGAATGTCAGATTTGGTGGTTCCTTGTTCAACCTATTTTCAGGAAAGAAGGAACAAAAACATTTAATTGTTGAGAGAGAAGTGACAGAATACCAGTTCATTTTACAAATACCAAAAGGAGACATTGAGTAAATGAATCAACATGGCATGTTACCTTATGCCAAATCCCTCCAACTCTTTCTCTATAAGACGTTTGTGAGTAATTGGCTTTATTGCATCTAGAACAATTAAGATAATGTTGCATGTCCGAGAAGTACTGATGACCTGAATTCAGAAGACCACATTCAAGTACCGAGCAAAAGGATAAGATTAAAAACAAGTTAATAATCATATTATCGGTATCATCAAGCTTTAAAGAATACTTGCACCCTAAAAATGATGCCCTAAGAATAAAAAAATTACAGCAATCTCTAGGTAGAGATGATAATTTCGTTACCAAACATCTAATGAAGGAAGGAGGTCATATACAGTCTCATGCCTATATAGAAACTGGACAAACATTGCAGAAATATCTTTGTCAATAGGCAAGATAAATGGCACAACGAGCGCAGCCTCCATTCGATCAATGCATTCTCATCTATCTTGACAACGTTGCCCCTTATTCACTGATTTACAGTCTCATCCATCAAAAGGCTTCAGTCCATGGTTTTACTTTCTTTACAAATTTTCAATTTCATGTATTTTAATAAAGGTACAGTAGGCAAGATGGCTGGGAGCTTTATTTTCTAAGTGCATGTTGTTGAGGGGGGTGGATTGAGGAGACCAAAATCGAAGAGAATGACTTAGAATCCATGATTATAAATGTTAGAAGGATCGAAAATTCTCTCCTCTATCCCTTGAGTGTGACAATTAAAGTAGAAATGGTTGATAGTTGTGGAATTGTAGAAGTGGGGTGGCGTTGAAATTTTTATGCCAATGGTGGCTTTCCTCCATGTCTAGCAGCAGTTGCGGTGGCACAAGGTGGGGAAGAACGAACCCATGATTTAACACAAACGTGAATATTTACCATGGGTAAAAGAAATATACGTATACATATACACACACACACACACACATATATCCACTCGTTTGGCCCCCATTAAATTCCATTCCATTTTTCTTTCTTCTATTTTCAACCACACAATCTTCCATAATATTACACGCAAGTCCAAAACTTTTTTTTCTTTTTTAACCATTCATTTTTAAAAAAAAAAATACTATTCCACCAATTTTCATTTCTGGAAAATGGGGGTTATATATATATATATATGTTGTGCCAACCAAAACTAGGGCATTCAAATTGGGATGGGAGTACATTACAGAAGTCCAACCACCATCACTGCTACATACAAGCAAAACTAACACCACAGGCAGACAAATAGACACTAAATCAAGAGAACAGCCATCCATGTGGATAATAGAGGAGAGAGAAAGTTAAAAATACCATGATAATAATAATAAAATCAGTAACAGTGTCATATCTTACCTGCCTACCTCTACCCTTTCCATCTTTAGCACCCTCAATAATACCGGGAAGATCCAATAACTGCCAACAAAAGCAGGAAGAACATCCCAACGTAAGTACAGAAAAAGGCACAGGCTGTGATTTCAGAACGTAAATCGTACTGTTATTTCTGAACATGAGTCACAGAGACAATTCAGAGTTATGATGAAACATATATAGGATCCAACCAAAAAGAAAGGAAACCTCACGTTCCTCAAGCCTGCATCATGCAAACTGAATTTTAAAAATATGCACTTAAAATTTTTTTCACTCATGGTACAGTAAATCATCCATAAAAGATGAATAATGGCACTTTTCCAATAGTACGGAAATAAACAGAAAGCATTGACAGTATTGATTTTGGGAACCATCTTCCAATCAATTTCTTTCTCAGTGTAAATGCTGAAACTCATCCGTCATCCCATATTTCTCACTCATTTTAAACTATTCTGAAGCATTAATGGCATCAAGAACCAAAATGGACAACATACTTCACTTTTAAGTCTTTTAAGGTTTTGTTTAGATAAATATTATCATCGTTACATCTAAAGACAGTAGGACACAAGGAATGCATACCATAGCAATCAATCAGCGCGTGTTAGAAGCTTTCGAAAGGGAAATAAATTACAAAACTGAGCAAATGAGGACCTGAGCAGAAATAGGATTACATAGATGTGCCAACCAATAGTCCTGCTCCTTCAGTGTGTAGACGAATTTTACTAACAAGGTTTCATATAGCAATGTCTTTAAATGAATCTCAGAGGCCAGGGGCCTGAAATATCATATTTATCACTGAAAGAAGATATATTAACTTTTTTCCAAGAATTAGGCACCGTCAATACATAAATGAATAATTGCATCGATAATAGACTCATTAATGGTTCTTAGTCTATAATCGACAACCCAGGGTGCGACTGGAACAGGTTGCCGATTCAACATAGGTATGTCAATGAAAAAGTCAAAGGATGTATGAATAAGACTAGAGTCTTGATTAATGACAAAGAGAGAAATTTCTTGCTTTAGCTTTGACCCCTAAAAAATATTAACAAACATCATGCTGCTGCTGTTCAGTATAACCTCAGGTCTACGGCTCTATCTATAATTAAAACTGACATCCATCTACACGAAAAAGAAAGAGAGCTCCCACCGAAATCTCTGAGAACACGTGTAATATTCAAGCAAATTCCTTATGTTTAAGTAAAAAGATTTGAACAACAAGAACGTCTCATGAAACCTTTTCCTAGTTCAGGCACAATAATAAAATCATATGCCAATAGGATAGAGGAAAACCAATTGATCGTGGCTCTCACAACGGAGTCTGAAAGGCAACTAAATTTACTCTTCCAAAGACCAAATGATAATACCTGAATTTTAGCACCTCGATACATGATTACACCAGGAATGCAAGTTAATGTAGTAAACTCATACGAAGCAACCTGCAACCACATGCAGAAAAACCTTCAAGAATAACTCAATGAAGCTTTGCCAACTCTGGGTTTCACTTAGCGAGATAGCATAATCATATGAGAAATTAAAAGTCAACATAGAACAAGCCCAGAATACAAAAGAAATTGCATCCTACATTCACATAGCCTATAACAGCAAGCATAAATATGTATAGTTAAAAGAACATATCAAGAATTACAAACCTCTGAGAAAGTCCCTGTTAATTTGTTTAAAAGTGTTGATTTCCCAACTGAAGGGAAACCCACAAGACCAACTCTTGCATCACCACTCTTTGTAACATCAAAACCTTCTCCAGCACCACCACCTCCCTTCGATGAAGGTGTAAGAAGTTCCCTCCGAAGTTTTGCAAGTTTAGCCTACCACCAAAATCATGTCGTACCAAAAAAATCAATTTGACTGGATAAATTAAGAGAATAAAATCTATCTGCATTTGAAAGGAAGTAAAAGAAAATCAATTTGCTAGAAATAGATTATCAAGTTTGTTTAGTGTTTGTTTAATACACGAACTTAAGGATTTATTCTTTATTATTTGTAAGATAATCTGTAAATCTAATTATATAGTTTTAAGGTGGATTTTCAAAATGGTTTACATTTTACTACGACAATATTTTTGTGTTTTCTTTTGTAATTTTCTATACTGGTTTGAATTGAGGCTTACACCTCACCTCACGGAGGTAATATCATTACTCAATTGAACCCTTGTAAAAATTAGTTAGCATGATGTAGCCATGGTTTCAGACTTTCAGTAAAGGACCTGTGCAAGCAGTAAGATTATTGAATTTATCGAATTCGTGGAACTTATTCGGGGTAAAAATGTTCAATCACATGATTTACTTCACACTACATCCATGCAGACCAATTTATTTGAATATCTCAGATTTTATTGTCTCAGATTGACTTCACACATATTTATATGATCATAACCAATCTCATATCTCAGATTCAACATATGATCATGACTATATATCACTTGATTTCCTTCACACTCCATCCATGCAATTTTACAATGATAAGTGTTTTACTTTTCTTTAATAGGAAGGATTATTGTATTCACTTCACTGGAATCCTATAAACAAGTTAACAAAGGGTCACTAGTATCCAAAACATGGATTTACCAGGATACAAAGATTTGACAACAACAAAACGACGTAAAAGTGAAAGTTAGCTCTGTGTGAAAGACAGAATATACACATCAAAGCCTAGAAAAACAAAATAAATAAATAAATAAATAAAATAAAATAAAATTTCATCTTACGGCAAAAATACAGGCATGATGAATATACCTTCAGCAAGCCCAAGTGATGGGCTGTTGCTTTGTTCTTCTGGGTCCTTGCCATCTGTGAGAGAGTAGAAAATGGATCAGCTTGACAAGCTTAAAATTCTGTTTCTTCCGATAATAAAAACATATCAAACAATAAATAGGAAATAGATAGGCAAAACTCCTAAACCCCGTTTTAAAGAATGTTCCAGTATAACTACAGAAAACATCACCAGCTAAATTATCACTATAAAGAACACTTTTACCCAGCAATTAGTTGTATTTGCTTATATATAACAAAATGCAAATAAAAGAGATCAAAATGTCGTGGTTATATATATATATATATACATTTTTTTTTTTTCCCGGCTCTTCTTTTGCTACAATCCAAATATACACAATTTTCTTTTCTGTTTTCCTTTTCCTTCACAAAATATATGAATAAAAACATTATTATTTATTCATTTTCAGTTCGGATTCTATTGCCCTAAAGCATAGTTCTTCGTGTCGTACTTCTTATCGTTACAGTGATAACAAGTATCAAATAAAACCTAATCCTACTCAAACATTTCAACACTAAAAACGTCACAAACAATAAAAGATCAATTTTTTCTCGATCCACGAGCATTACCTCATCTTCTATGTCTTTGATTTTCTGCATAACAGTCGCCATTGTTTTGGGGTTGAAAGCGAGAACCTCTAAACGACAAAGGCTGGGCGAACTGAAACTTGTGCCGCAGAGAGTCTGAATTCTTCTGGTTGATATCGGGTACGCCGGCGGGTCAGCCTGTGGTGAATCGGGGTCCGGATCGTATTTAGGGGTTTTGTTTCGCTTGGTCACCTAGTCGGGAGCCTCGTAGACTCGCAGTATTGTGCGGAAATGGCTTCCTAAAAGTTTAAGAAGACACTCTTAGTCACCAAACTTCGAACAAACTTTCATTTTGGTCATTGAATTTGAATAAAAATTTCATTTTAATCGTTAAACATAAATTTGTTTCATTTTATAATGAACTTCTATTTTTCTTTCCATTATATCAAACCATTGTACATGTTGTCTCTAATTTTTACAGGAATGCATGGGTAGCTTATCATTTTTCTGACTTTGACGACTTTTGACATTAAATTTTGAGTAGGATTTTCGTTTGTGCTGCACAAAAAAATAAAAATAAAATAAAATCTAGTGGCAATTTCATTGTCTTTGCAAGGGTGTCTAAACAGACTAGGCAATATCATCAACTTTGCCTAATTTGTCAAGATGTCTGAATTTTGAAGGACAAACTTGCTCCTATTGAAAGGTTTAAGGACCAACTTTCTCTTTAAAAATTGAAGTGACAAGTACCAACTATCTCGTTTTTTAAAGTTGGAGGATCAACTTAATCTTTTGGAAAGGTTTGAGGGTCAACAAGCTTCTTCATGAAAGTTGGAAGACCAATTTCCTCCTCTGTAAAATTGATGAGAAACTTGCTCAATTCGAAAAGACTAACATGCTTATTTCTAAACGTTGGAAGACCAACTTGCTTATTTTGAAAGATTGGAGCAACTTCCTTCTCTAAAAGTTACAGGAACAAATTGTTTATTATGAAAGGCCCATAGACCAAATTGCTTCTATATAGAGTTGGACGACCAACCACGGTCCTTGGAAAATGTTGGAAGACCAACTTTATCCTACTGAAGATGGGAGGACCACCAAGAATGTCATGAAAGATGGAGGATCAACATGCTCTTTTTGAAATAATAGAGGAACAAACTACATATTTTCAAAAGTTGGAGGGAATATTGCTCATTATTCAAAGTTAGACAACCTAGTTACTACTTAGCTAAAGCTGGAGGACCATTTTGATTAATTTTGTAGTTTGCGGATAAATATTTGTCAAAAAATGGAGGATTGAATTTGTTCATTCGAAGAAGTTGGAGGACTAAATTGCGACATTTGAAATATCGGATGACCAATTTGCTCCTCCTAAAATCTTGGAGGACTGGATAGCTCCTCCTTTAAAAGGTGAAGGACCAAGGAGGTCTTTTAAAAAATATAGAGAATCTCCTTGCTTATTGTAGAACAATGGAGCACTAACTTTCTCCTTTTATTAAGCCACTACTTGGTGGGAATTAAAATCAAATGTTTAATATAATTTTGATAGAAGTTGATGAAATGTATAGTTAAAAAGTTGCGGAATCCATATAATATGTGATTGAAATGAATTGTTGATTTTGACTTAAATTAAAATTTAGATTTTAGTTGATACCAAACAAGGACTAAGTATCAATTTGCTTCTTTAGAAATGTTGGATGATTCATTCGCTCCATATTGAATACTGGAGGATCGATTTGCTCGATTAGAAACGGTGGAGGACCAAAATCCAACTCATCTTACAAATCAAAGGACCCATTTCTCGTTTCCAAAAAAAGTTTCTTCTCCAGCCAGTTAATAGGTGCAAGTTGGTCCTTCAAAGTTTGAGAAAGCTGTGAGTTGGTCGTCCAACTTATTGGTAATTAATAGATCCACAATTTACTTTAAACTATATTTCGGCAATTTCTTCATCAATACACACAAACCATTTAATTTCTAATGTAAGCTTTTAAAATCACAAATATCAATATAAGAATATTTATTTTTGTTTTCTATACCACAACTCAGTAAAAATTTAGTTCCTAAAGTTATTATATTTAGAATAACAGTCAAATGTGATTTTCTTTGTCTTGTACTCCGTTGACGTCAAATTCGTTAACAGTCAAATTATGCAAGAATCTTCATATATTATTATTTACTAGTCAATGTAGCGTGCTTTGCACGAATTTTGTATTTATCGTAGTTTTACTAGCGTATGAATTTTAGTTTCTAGGAAAGTTTTTGAAAGAATATCTAGTAATATTTTCATAATATAAAGAAAATTATTGCAAAATATTTTTACTGTTACAACAGTAAAAATATATGCTTGAAGTTATATAAAGTGAATGTGAATTTTTCGTTCTAGACAAAAATTGTATGCTACTTGAATATATAAAATTCACATCACTTCTCTCGTATACATCATTAAACAAATAGCTGCATTTATGCTTTGACACCATAAATATGCTAGAGTTGACATAATACATAATTAAGTAAATGTTGAGTCAAAAAAATGAATTTTGAATGGTACATTCATAAATTATGCATGGTGAGTATGTATCAGCGTTTCTTAGTCATATCTATACCTAGTCTATAATTATAACTGTGTCCATCGAGGCAGTGAATTAATGGTATTGGCACATAGGAATGTAAATTTTTCCCAACACCTGTTTTTCTGTAGAAATGAAACAGCATTTAATGCTTGAACATAAAACAATTCATAACACACACACAAAAATAGTATAGGATCCACCTCTCACAATCCGAATACTCCCCTGCAATTCCATGATTTTGACTCGACAATCCGAATACTCCCCCTGCAGTAGATATTGTCCCGGAAGTTGAAATTGTTGTTCAGAGTGTTCCATTGTTATCTATAGAATTTTCAAAAAAAAAATCATTAATTACTACTAATGCATTTTGTCTAATTACTAATTTTAAAAATAAAATGTGCGACGTGCGGACACTCCGCACGGTGTCCGCACACACTCTACATCTCACGTCGCACTTTTTTTTTAAATTAGTAATTAGACTAAATGCATTAATTACTATTAATGATTTATTTTTATTTTTTTAATTCTAGAGATAACAACAAATCTATGATGACAAAATCTTCATGAATTTAGAGTTTTCCAAGAATTTGGGCTATGATGACAACTTGCTTGTATTTATTGATTGCAAGAGTCGATGGATATAGCACGTATTGATAATTTCTGGTTTCTTTGTAAAATGGAGCAGAGATATAATTAACTTTATACTTGATACAACTAAAATTATGTTATCTTGATTTACATTATTTATTGTTAAACGATACTTCAATTAACATAAAACCAAAAATAATTTGAATATTTTATTTAGATAATCTTATATCTGTAACTAAAATACTTATCCCTGATTAGAGCACTTTTGATATATTTGCTTATAGTTTAATTGATTTCTCTTTAAAATCAACCAATCCTTCCAAATCTCGAGTGATTATCTAGAACTATATATGCTGAGATAAATTGTTTTATAGCAGTAAATCTTTATCTATTAATTAGTTATGTGGATAAAGCGAAAAATATCTGTGTAAGACATGTTTTAATTTTTATTTGTAATCACAATTTCTCCAAATATTAGTTTGTAAATAAGTTTTGTTATTTCATGCAAATGTCTCTAGATTATGTCTTGTCTCGAGACTAATGGTTTTGTGCTACTGTTTATCAATATCCAAATCATCAATACGTTAGAGATTTGATAGAATTGTTACAAGCAAATGAACAAGTATTATTAATGTGCAGTAATTTTCATAGATTTCTATATGAATTTATGTATAGAGACAAAAAGCAAAACAATTTAGTAGCAAGTTGATACGTGAATTCATAATGATGATTGTTAATTCCCATAAAAGCAATGAAGTGTGGATAAGTTTTAATGACCATCTTGCCCGTTTTGGAATGCAAGAATTCTGCTTAATCACTGCACTACCTTGCCACGAACCGTCTGTTAATCTTGACTTTAGTAATTCTCGATTTAGAAACTAGTATTTCAATGGTGTGAAAAGGATTTCTATGAGAATGCTCCATGGTGCCTTCAATTCATGTGAAGATCGAGAAGATAAATTCAAACTTGGATTGGTTATGTTGATAGAGTGTGTTCTCAAACCAACTGAAAGACATATTAATTACAGAATGCTGTGTATGGTTGAGCAGCTTGACGATTTTATCTTATATCCATGAGACTAGAAGGCATATTTTGTTTTGTTGAATTCATTGCAACAATTACACTTTGAAAGAATATTAAGAATGCAACAAGTTGAGCAAATGGAGTGTAAATATTCGTTAAATGGATATTCTCTTACTTTTCAGGTATTTATTTGTTACTAAATTTTTATGTTTTGTTTAGTTTAATGTTGTATATATTTAATATTTACCTTCAATTTTATTTTGTAGTTTTGGACATACGAAGCATTTCCTAATATTGGAAAGAAATTTGGATGAAGGAGATACAAGACATTACAAATTCCAAGAATGTACAAATAGAAGCCGAGGCAAATACTGACAGAAAAAATTGTAAAACAATATTTGTCTACACACGGGGTATGGTAATTATATGAAAATTTATACATCTAATTATTTTACTAAACTATAGTACATAATTCTAATATGTTATTACGTTTATAGATTCGAGTCCTTACGGTATTGCAACCAACAGAAGAAGAATTGCAGACATTGTGGTACACAACTCTATCATTACCGTTGGACAATAAACACACTATATTAGACGGCATTGCGGGTGGAGAGCTTGGCAATATTATACTACAAATTCCACATAGCAAGTAAACAATTAATGCTGACGCTACTGGTACTTCCAGAACATACTCTTCAATTGGAGTGGAGCCTAATTATACTTCTGTTATTGACTGTAATTATGTCACAAAAAACAGATGAAAGAAATGTTCACTACACATAGACAGTATGTATCTGGTCTGTATAATGACTTGAAGGCACACATGGTGAAAGAATCAAGAAAACTATAGGATGAATATCTTGAAAATCAGAAGAGAATGTTTGAAGAACGGCAAAAACGGCATGAACATCAATATCAACAGTTGCACTTTACTTATCAATCTGGTATGCAATTTGCATTTATGGATAGTTAAGCTATCTGCCAGGATTTTTTTAGTCGATAGATGGCTCAACAATCAAGAAGACAGGAAATTAATTGTCAAGCAATTGTTGACAATTAGAAAGAATTTTTTCAGCAACAACAAAAATGATCGGAATATCACC